GATTCTCAGCCTATGGTCTGTGGACCCCTGAGGGGTTGCAATGTCATAGGGCAGAGGTCCCCAACCTTTTGGACATCAGGGACTGGTTCCGTGGAAAGAGGTTTTTCCACGGACCGAAGGGTACATGATTTTGTATGCTGCCTGCATCTCACGGATGGGGCTTTGCTTGTTTGTGTGGCCCGATTGCTGGCATGCTGAGGCCCGGTACTGGTCCACAGCCCGGGGGTTGGGGACCCCTGTCATAGGACGTCCATGAAGGGTTGAAGAAGTGTTATAATTTAAATCTTGAGTTAAATCTTGGTGGTCCATGGCCACAAAAGGTATTAAAGGGGGTTCAAGGTGAAGAAAATGTTGAGGACCACAGTTGTATGGTACTGATTCCATCTTCCTATTTCTGTTAAGCAAAAAGACAAAGATGAAAAAAATTGAGAAAACTGAAAAGAGCAAATATTATCTGGATCTCTTGCTAAATTTGATGAACAAGGCAGAATGATTACATAATGAAAGCCTAGCTTTGAATAATTCCACTGGCCTACCACTAGATCCTGATCCATCTTCTATCTAACGCTGCCTATCTTATGATCTAGCAAACCATTTTTTATTGCTTTAAAATCCAATGAGCTATGGATTCTGTTCCTTGAAGACATTATCCGAATACAGTATCTCTTTGTAATTAAGAACATACTGTGAAAACTATAGGTGTTACTGTGACATATTGTGTATACTAACAAGGTGTTTTTTATGTGGATACATAAAAAACATTTTTGAACCCAAAAATGTTAGACAATTTTCATCCAGTCTTCAACCTTCCTTTTCTAGACTGAGATGGACAAGCACAGAATGCAAGACATTTAGTACATGATTTATGGAGCAGGATGCAACCACATCACTCCTTCTCTAACACATACAGCAGCAGAGAGACTGCCAGCATTGTCCAACAATGGTTACTAATGTTCTGCTAAAGTTTACTTCTTTGTAAATTTCATTTCTTACCCTCTGCTGCATCTTCTGTGTGACAATCCTTGAAATATTGAAAAAATGGACAGCGCATCTCCTTTTAATCTTCTCTTCTTCAGTCTTGAATCAGATTACAGTATTAATCAAAGTAGTATTGGACATCTTGACCACCTATTATGTAGTCCTCGACTTACAACAGTTCATTTAGTGACCTTTTGAAGTTACGGCACTGAAAAAAGTGACTTATAACCATTTATCACACTTACAACCATTGCAGTATCCCCATGGTCATATGATCAAAATTCAGATGCTGACTCATATTTATGACAGTTGCAGTGTCCTGTGGTCATATGATCACATTTTGCGACCATCTGACAAGCAAAGTCAGTGGGGAAGCCAGATTCACTTAACAACCGTGTGGCTAACTTAACAACTGCAATGGTGGCAACTGTGGCAACTGTGGCAACCAAGGTCATAAAATGGGGCAAAACTCACTTAACAAATGCCTTGCTTAGCAATAGAAGTTTTGGGCTCGGTTGTAGTCATCAGTGGAGGACTACCTGTAATTACTCTTTTCATCCCTGCGGTTTTTATATTTTAGTTTTTAATGTTCTAATTTTAAATAATGATCATTTTATATTTTTATGATTGTATTTATATAATTGTTGTATGCTACCGAGACACTTCGTGAGATGGGCAGCAATACAAATTTGATTAATAATGTAACATAGCGTAACATTATTATTTTTTTTTTTATTGAAAGTTTTATAAATTTTACAAAAAGACAAAAACAATACAAAACAAAAGACAACATATACAAAAAAAAACTAAACATTACATATATAAAAAAAAAAAAAACCCCCCATCCCCCACCCCTCACAAAAACCCTCCCTTCCCCCCCTGAGCTTCCCAGAGCAGAATATAGGCTTAATTAAAAATTAAGAAATAAAAATAAAAAATTAAATTAAAAAATTTATATTTATATATATATATAAAAAAATATCTATATATATATATAAAAATAAAACTTATAAAAAAGCTATGTGATATTTTTGTATACCCAATCTAAATTGTATAAATTTTATCCATTTGTCCCAAACAGCAAGGAACTTCTCTTGCGTTTGTTGCTTTAAGAAAGCCGAAATCTTTGCCATTTCCGCCAGATAAGCTACTTTAAGAAACCATTCCTGCAATGTAGGCAAAGATTCCTTCTTCCAATATTGTCCTACTAACAGCCTAGCGGCTGTAATCAAATTTAACATCAATACAACCTCCTTTGTATCACAATCTGTAACAATGCCTAACAAAAATAATTGCGGAGTAAATTTTACCCTCCTTCTAAAAATTCTCTGGATATTCCACCATATTTTGATCCAAAATGCTTTTATCTCTCTGCATGACCACCAAATATGTAACATTATTATATTACATCATTATATAATAAATATTAATTATATAAATAAAATAATTATATAAATAAAATAATCATTACATTGTTACATTATTATATGTTATGTTACTTTATATTATGTACATCCCTCAATGCCATTATTAAAAAAAAGATAAATTGCATAAAGGCCAAGGAAAAGGATCTAACAGGCACCAGTTCTTTGGGAGGAGCACTTTCCATTTCAAATATTCAGATGTGAAATATATAGATTTAGATATATATATACAGATATATATACACATTCATATACTTTTAAAGCTTCAGTTCCTGCTAGAACAGGGGTCTTCAAACTTGCGTGCCTGGCTGAGGAATTCTGGGAGTTGAAGTCCACAAGTCATAAAAGAGCCAAGTTTGAAGACCCCTATGCTAGAAAGAGGGTTCTCTCCCCCCAAGTGGTTTGACATTAACATCTGGAAGGCGCCAGTCCCAGAACTTGCCGCCGGGGAGGAGCTCCAGCGCCTGAGAAGGAAGGGGCGGTGCCGGCGGATCCGGGCGCGTAAAGAAAACGCAAGGAGGATACAGTGGTGGCGACGGCGGTGCGGACTTGCCTCTGGACGGCAAGGGCAACATGGAAGTGTAAGATAGCGAACGAGTTGGGCTTCTTTAGGTCAGCAAGACTTGCCCTCACTGAAGGGGTAAAAACGAGAGGCAGGATTACATTCAGACGCAGGGAAGAAAGAGAAACACTGGGCATGGGTCTGAATGCCGTTGCTTTCCGGCCACGCACGCACACGCGTTTCCCTGACTCGTTTAAAGCTCTCACGGTTGCGTCGATCTCCTGCAAACGTGGCTCCTCCTCTTTGCCTGGCTGTTTTTTTTAATAGACATATAAAATGCTTCAGTGGGTTGTGCGAATGTGGCTCGTTGATTAATTCACCATTCATCTTTCTTGTGCAAGCCCTGGAAATGGGATCGTTAGGGAACCAAATTATATATGTCGACGAATCCAGCTATTGCCTACAGTCCTTCAATATTGCAAGAGGGTGGAGTAAGTTAAAGCCTCAATGCTGGCAACATAGATTGTCATTGCCTCCTAACCTGATTTGTTTTATTATTACTCGGTGTTGCCTACAATTCATTTCTTATGGTCTCCAATCCAAATCCAGGTCTGACCCTCCTTAGTTTTTTTGGCATTAGCCAAATTCAGTTGCTTACTTCTACCTGCTGTGATGGAGAATCTCTTGCTGGGCATACACATAACTACCCCACCCCTTTTTTTCTGCGTTGCTTTCTCTTAATCCAGACTTGTGATCTATTTTGTCACTTGAGAAGTTTGGGAGGGTGTATAGGAGGAAAACAGTTTTCTGTATGTGCAATCATATTTGTATATTTAAATGGGTACACACTGGTCTTCTATGCATTAATGAAAATACACAAATACAATAAAACTAACAAAACCCTTGTAATAATATCTTATGCAATTTACACATTAAAAAGTAATTACTATATATCCAACAGTAAATCCCAGTTAATTTAGTGGTGGTTGCTTGTTCCCTTGCAATGTTATATTGATAGGCAGGCTTCTGGGAGAATAAGATCCAATAAAAAATAAATATAGATAGGATTTCAGTGCAGTTTGATAAGAATGTTCTGATTGATAATTACCTATATATTTATAGACATCATTGGTAATCATGCAAGCAGAAAAAATATATATGTTACTGTTGTTTTATTTGATTATTTCAAATTAATTAACAGGAGTAAAAAAAATTAAAAGATAGATTTGGTTTCGGTGATTGTTCCTAGAATAGGGCATCAGCCTAAGGGCACACGTTGGTTCTCCAAGGAGTTCTGGAGCTGAAGTGCCAGAAGAGATATCTAAAAGTCATTGGAATCAGTTGGAGAAACATGAATAATGAATCTGACTGAAGAGTGCTCTCTGAACTTGATTGTTCTTTGCAGATGTTTCATTAACCAGACTAGGTAGTATCATCAGTATGTTGGGGATTATATTGTGGCATTAAGAATGGCAAAACATTATCTCTCTGCTCTTATTATGTCTGGATAGTCCCCACCCCCAGCAACCCTGTTTAAAGTGATTGTTTCCTGCTGGGGAAAGACAAGCTGCTGGACCATTTATAGGGCCACTGTGAAGAATATTCTAGCTATCTGATGGATATAGTCAATGGATTCGCTTGGAGTTGGATTCTGACTTTTGAGGTGCCTGAGGCATTGTCTTGTGGGTTTAGATGAGATGAGCTAATGACTCCAAGAAAGGGGACACGGTCTTTGAGATGATCGTCCTCCTGGCTTGTGAAGGCTACTTAGGAAATGACCTGTTCTTGGGTCCACCATGTTTCCCTGAAAGTCAGACCTACTCTGAACATAAGCCCTAGCTTGATTTTTGAGAGTGGGCCTAATATAAGCCCTACCTCAAAAATAAGACCTAGTTTTGGGGTGAGATGCATGCCTAAAAATCAAGCTAGGGTGGGGATGGAGCTTACCATTGCAGCCAGGCCACCCATGGATTGACACTTGCCTTGCTGGCCCATTTTTTCTGCAGCTGAGAATGGAGTTCAGGCCTGCATTTTGCAGTTAGAGGCCTCTGCAGCCAAGAACTGAGCTATGGTGCTGCTGCGGTGAGGTGAGTGGAAAAGACCCCGGCCCCCCCAAATAAGACTTAGTGCCACTTTTGGAGGCAAAATGTCATCCTTTTTGAGGGAAAGGGGCGGTCCGCCAGTTTTGAAAGAGGAAGGATTGTGCTCCCTTCTCAAAAACATTGCTGGACATAGTGGTTCTAGACAATTTAGGTACACTTCAATCATCCCTTTTTGAGAAGATTGCTGAAAAATGGGATTGCAGCTCCAAGGACCCATGAGGGAACAGATTATCTGAAGCCTTTTCAGTTAGAGTTAAGACAACAGTGATCACTTTACTTCTAGAGATGAGGTATATACCATCCTGCTGCCTTTTGATATCATAATATTTGATTCATAAAATCCTTCTGGACCACCAATGAATATTAGTTGTGAGGGGCACCATTCTTTTGCTGGGGGCATTCCAATCTGTGCTGATTTGGGGGAAAGAGATTGTGGCTGAGGCTCCTAATGTGTGGTTGCCACAGGGCTCAATGCTCTCACCCCCCACTTTAGATGAGGAGGGCCTTCATCCTGTGTGCTAGTTGACCATGTTCCTGGCCCCAGAGATGGTGCTGGGTTCCAGATAGTTGCTGATGCCCTAGACACCTGTTGACTGTAGACTTTTGGAATGAGTCCTTGATGTTGCAGCTGGTCCTAGAGTTGGTGTTGCTGTTATACATTTTCACAGCCTTCTCTCTAAATATAATACCTAAAAATAAATAAATTGTACATATTTAACTTGAATGGTGTATTGGGCATGTTTATGAATACTGATTTGAATCATCCTAAAGCTAAAACTCTCCATCATATCTTTGTAGTGAAAAGAATGAGATCTATGTTACAAATGGAGGGGAATGACTATTTCTTACAGACTGATCTTTAAATATGCATATTTCTTTAGAAACCCCACAATTCTTTGTTCATATTCCTAGTAGATGTAGATTACATCGTAGCCAAAGAGAGGAAAATATCAACTTAGCATTATGCTGGCTTTCGATGCAGTGATAAAGATGGCAAAACATTTTTAAAAATTCATGTGGGTAATGGTATCCAGCAGACAAGGTCATGGGCCAAATTATCTCTTCAAGTCTTCTGAAACCATGCAACATTTGTTCTAAAGTGAGCTAACCTGCTCATCTCCCATGTTTTGGGTCCATTGAAAATAATTCTCTTTGGATCTATTATCCTTTTTTATTATTTTTTCTTAACAATAGTTGTCGGGCACGGGGACTCAGAAGAGATTTCTCCGGACGCATATGGAATGCAAAGACCTTCAAAAGAATTAAATATCTCCACCAACAAGAGAGAATATATATCCGTCAACAACAACAAAAACACTTTTCATGAAATGATTGTGTGCGTCTGTGTATGAACATAAGTGCTGTAGCTTTTCTTGTATCCACACAATGCAATGAGAACGCCAAGTCAGCATATTTTCAGAAGGGGCTCTCTTTTCTCATCCACTCAACCAGTACATTGTAAAGACAACATTAGAGCCTATGGAAGTTTGTGGAAAAGGTGTTGAACTTGTTTGAAAGTGATGAGTGTGGTGGTTCTATTCAAGCAGTCGGCTGTGCTTGACATAATGCATTGTATTTTTTAAGTATGTTGCAACAGGGGACCTGAAAACAGTGTCATTCCCTTCCGTTGTAAATGCTAGTGATATTTTCTGCTGCCTATCTGTCCAGCTGTACTCAGTGTCCCAAGGATGTATAGCTTTCACTAGTTTGTGATAAGCAAATGTGATTTTTTTAAAAAGAAATACTAATTTTTTTATTCATTTACTGAAAAATAAAATGAGTTTATTTGCTGTTAATTGGAATGTAGTTCAATAGAAAACAAGAGCAGGCAGGTCTCCAACGAGTCCTTGTAAACAGATTTGGTTTCAATAGTCTTTACAAGTTATGGCACACTTATTCTTAGTTCCAGTTTAAGTGCAGTTTTTAAAATGATTTGTAAGTAAAACCCTTTCTTACATTAAGCTCTGTGCCCATGTATCTTTCAACTTTTATAAGAAAGTTATGGTTTTTAAGGTGGCTTCTCCGTGCTTGTCCTGTTAAAGTATCATTGTACTTTCAATCTCTTTGGATTTTTTTTTTCCATAGGAAAGATGGAAACGCAGCTCTTCTCAGCAATTATGAGGTAATGTGATTTGTACTGTTCTGAAAAGTTATATATAGGGTGAATTTTGTTTTCATGATGACATTGTAATTCAGTAGATTTGGATGGCATTCAAGTTAGGGAAGTTTGTTTTTCTAGAAGTCAACTTGTTCTATGTCCTTTCACCATTATCTGAGGTTGCAATTAATGAACATGAGGACACCATGTCCTTCATGATGGAGCCTAAGTTAGTAGTAAAGTGTTCTGGACTAGCCAATCCTTTTTATGTTTATTCATGTATTCCTTAATTGGTATCTCCTCATTTATTTCCTTCTTAAAAGACTGACCGCTCTCTCTGCCATGTGTTTAATAATTGCAAAAACCAAAATCATAGAGTTACTGTTACATAACAGGAATTATAAGGCACCTTGGGAAATCTACTGTTGAATGAAAATAAATTCTGTAAATAAATATGTGTACTTTTTAAACATTGGCTCTATTTTTTTCTTGTTCAAGAAGGTATCAGTTAAAATACAACATTCAAAATATATCCACCTCCAGTGATAAATAATTAATTTAAAGGGTAGCCATAAAAGGAGACTGGCCATAATTTAAAATGTAGCCATAATGGAGGGTTGCTCGATTGTGCCAGATGAAGATCTGCAAAGGGCTGCTGATTTCCTTTGTTTAATAGTGATGACAAAAAGCTCTTTTCTTTGAAATAAGCTGAAATCAAGAACACTTAAAACACTAGCAACAGATTGTAGCAGTGTGCAAACTCCAGTTATACTCCTGAAAGAAAATCTTCAGCTGAATACATTCTTGGAGATTTCTTTTTCTGCATTTCTTCTGTCCATTTGCTTAAGGAGCTATTCAGAATGCACAATTGATTTATGGGGAGGCTAGTACAACCTAAAATAGGTTTCACTAGTCTAAAGCCTGTGGTAATTTGAGTTTAAATATTTGGAAACTAACTGGCTTATTGGAAAGGATTTTCCAGTATCTCTTAATATTTATAGGTATTTAATTTACATGAAAAATGTATATGGCCGCCTATCTTATATACAATGACGCTGTGTAATGGTATGTAGGAATGACCTTGGAGAGACAGGAGGTAGAGCTCCAGACTAGAAAACTATCAAATAAGCAGCTGAGCCAGTAGAAGGAATGAGGGCATGGCATATATCTCAGAAAGGACCCTACTAAGTTTTTGGATTTTAAAGATGATGGGGAAGAGATATTCTTTCAGACTTGCAAGATTCTGTTACTGTAATTTTACCATAAGTTAGAGCTAGACCTTCTGGACTTGCTTCTTGCCTTGGGTATCTGGCAAGGCTGATACCCTGGGTGACTCACAGGGACACAATAAAACACAAAATAACACAAAACCAGCGTAAAAATAACTCCAGGCCCCAGAAAACAAAACTCGCCCAAATCTCTGCATCCACATTTATTGTGCTCCAGCTTCCCCTTAGCCCAGTGCTTCTCAAATAGTGGGGTGCGCCCCCCAGGGGGGGCGCGAGGCTCCGTAAAGGGGGGCTCGTTTGACCTCGGCAAATACTGTCATATTGGATTTCTAGATCGGATCACGTGACACATGCAAAGGACCCGATTGGATAGACATGATGCTCTATCCTGATTGGCCAAACCCGCCCGTGTGACTTTTAGACCCGGAAATCGGTCCTCTGTACAGAAAAATTTTTTTAAACAGGGATGAGAAGACAGGCGGAGAGAGAAGGAGATAAAAAAAAGTCTTCCGAAGGCTAAGACGAGGAAATATGACGAGGGGGGCGCGAAATGTTTTCTTCTTCCTAGGGGGGCATGACAGAAAATAATTGAGAAGCACTGCCTTAGCCCAACATTTGGGGAAAGAGCCACTTATTTAAGGCCTTCCAGAAGGCTAGATGTGTAGGCGCATGCCATATCAAGCATTATTAATGCAAGTTACCCAGAGCCACTTAGGTGGGATGGGGAGTGTACAAATTTGATAAATAAATTAAAAAATATTTCAGGGAGGAGGGTACTTTAGTCCTCAAGATGGCCTTTTACCACATTGCTTCTTTAAAGTGGTCTTCTGCCACATGTTTCCTTCAAAGCTCCGGAGATGTTTAAAGCTGTTTTCTCTTTCCCAGGTCTACAAATTGCTGACTGATCTGAAGCGGCAGTGCCAAGAGCCTGGGAAAAGTAAGCAGAGTGTTGGCCAGCAGAATCTGAACACAATCACATATGAAGTAAGTAAAGAAATGAGGAAAAATCTTGTGCTTTATTGCGTTTTCCCTCTCCATCCCACTTGCTTACTTCCACGAACAAGAATCTTCTACAATCCTGCTATCTATTAAAAGAATGAGAAAAAATTCAAAAGAGTAACACAATTCATGGTCCAAACTCACTTCACAGGGTTGTTATTCTGGGGAAACTAGGAAGAGGAAGACATGGTGGATATGTTCACTGCCTTGAGTTATTTTTATAAATAATAAGGGCGGGATGCAAATAAATAAAATATATCCCTGAAAAATGATATATATTAGTGAAATAATGTTCGTACTTTTTAAAAATAAAATATTTATAATACTGCTTCAATACTATTAACTAGCAATATAATAATAATACAGGTCGTCCTCAACTTACGACCACAATTGAACCCAACATTTCTGTTTTTTAAGTGAGAATTTGTTAAGTAATTTTGCCCCAGTTTATGATCTTTCCTGCCACAGTAGTTAAGTGAATCACTTCAGTTGTTAAGTTAGTAACACAGTTGTTAAATTAATCTGGCTTCCCTGTTGACTTTGCTTGTCAGAAGGTCGCAAAAGGTACATGACCCTGGAACATTGCAACTATCATAAATGCATGGGTATCCAAATTTTGATCACATGATCGTGGAGATGCTGCAACAGTTATGTAAAAAAATGATCATAAGTCACTTTTTCAGTGCTGTTGTAACTTTAAACGGTCACTAAATGAATGATTGTAAGACCAGGACTGCCTGTAATTATTTAATAAGTGAATAAAAATGCCAATTCCAGTCTGAACATTGGCTGACTGTGCGATGGACCATAATAATCTCCTATCGTTCTATTACGTCCGTCCATCATAACATTTCACTTCCTAAGCCTTAGTATCATATTCTCTGATAATTCTCTTGTCCCTTTTATATTTCTTCCAGCTTTAGTGATATACCTTATCAGATGGAGATTATTTTACTATCCTAAGACTGTCTGAATTCCTAATATGGTTGAAAATTTTGCTGTGAATTTTGTCCAATTTTCCTTAAGATTTAAAAAGTAGACGGCAATGGAGCATCTTTCCATCTCCCCATCCCAGTCAGATCATGCTGCTAAAATCTGGTTGCAAAATATTAAAAAAATAGCAACATGACCTTTTAAATGAAATAAATAGGAGCTTTGTAAAGCTCATTGCTCTTGCTGCAAAAAGAACCACAAAGCAAAACATCTTGACTCTACACAACCACAGTAATAATATCATTTGCAGCATTTGAAACCAGGAAAAAGAAGTGTTTACCCCCAACTGAAGATGGCCTGCTACATTGCAGTGGGAATAATATTAAAAATTTCTTTTTCTTTCTAGACATTGAAATACATATCAAAGACACCATGTAAGTTCCAGAGTCCTGAGATTGTAAGAGATTTCCTCATAGCACTGAAAAATCAGAAGCTAACAAAGTAAGTTATAAATTACACCATGCAACTATGGATTAGAACTGTTTGCTTTGGATTATATATATCCTAACTATTCATAGTAATATTGCTGAATTATTTCAGTTCATAAAAATACTTTTAGTTCAGGCCAGGAGATCCCCTGGTGGTAGGGAGTCCGAAAGTCAGCTGCATTATGTGTGATATTCTCCCATTTGTGATTTTCTTTTTATCCATGTTTACTGTTTCCATTGGTTTTGTAGTACGTTTCAATAGTAGATGCTATTGTACGCTGCCCCACATAAAGTCACTTTGTGGGAGAGGTGGCCGTATAAATGTGATAAATTTCTTATTTATGGAAAATCCCAAGTAGCAGTTTCCTGCAATAATATTTGAAATAAAACAGTATTTAATCATATAAAAATATATTATATCTAAAATTACATTCAAGGAAGCCTAAATAAATACTCAATACTTTCAAATATGAGACAGTATAAGTCCTTACTTGTTAGTTAACTTTGGCAAAAGTAATAATTGCTGTATCTGAAAAGACTTTATGAAGGAACATAGAATAAATTTGTCAAGATTGTGGATTCGGTTAATGACAGGATTGCCATCACTAAGTGATGTGGTCACACTTTATACCTTCATTGGTTAACGATGGAAATATTTATTCAATTATTTAATAGGTGAGATGGGGTTTTAAGTCTATAATGTAATGTTTATTAAATATTTTACTTGTTAAACTTTTATCCAGTGTTAAGTTTAATTTATGTTTGTAACTTGCTTTTGGGCCTTCTGGCTGTAAATAAAATTGATTGATTTAAATTAATATTAGAGATTAATAGTAAACAGAAGGACTGGAGTTATCTGTCTTTGTGTATGCAACAGAGAACATTTCTCCTTTGAGAGAATGTGAATTGGGATTATTGGCAATCTGCACTTTATCAGGAATATCTACGTTCTGCTGGCTTGCAATGGCACTACATGCACAACATCCTTTTAAAAAAAAAGATAAGATAACATTTACAGAATTGTCATTTTTAACTGTGAGCATACTGGCCCACATGAAAAATAAAATTCTGTTACCTGTTCTCAAAAGAAAGTATATATCTACCCATATACATACATAACACACATATACACGTGCTATATACATACACACATATACATATATATATTAGTCATTGTCCATTTTGAATACATAGCAGAAAGAGGCAACTTGAGCATTCACAAAGTTGATGCTATATGGAACAAAACTATGACTGAATCTGGATGTTCTGCTTTGGATAAATGTAAACATACAGAAATTTAAATTTTAACAGTTGAGGAAAATGTTGAATTAGTACTTAGACAACTACAGCATTGAAAGGACCAGTTAAGCATTTTGGCTGTATGTATGGATCTGGAAACTTTTCCTTGGTACTTCTCTCTGTAAAACTCCCTTCAATAAAGTAGTCAATTTCTGCTCCTAAATCCTTAAAAAAAAGAGGTAGTCCTCGACTTATGACTGTAATTGAACCTGGAATTATGGTCATAAATTGTGCTAGTTGTTAAGCAGGTCATCACATGGACCAACTAGATTTTACCACACTTTTTATGTTAGTCATTAATGAACTCTGCAATTATTAAACAAACCCATTATTTGCAACAGGCATTTTCTGTTGGAAAGCAGAAGTAAACGACAGTTTCCAGCCAAAAAAAGTTATAAATTATAGTCACATGACTGCAGGACATTGCAAACAGCCATAAATGTGGGCCCATTGCTGAGTGCCCAAAATGTGATCATGGGCCATCAGAACTTCAAATCTGCATTGTAAGTACCTTTTTGGGTGTTCACCGTAACTTTGAACAGTTGCCAAGCAACTTGTTAGATGAGGACTATTTATAGTCAATTTAGTTTGATTTGAATAGTTTTTGCTTAAAAATATTATAGCAAACTGCTGTGAAGATAACTTGTAAGAATTGTTAAGAGTACTTTTCCAATTGTAGACAATACTGTCTTTCTAAGCATTCACTTGATCTGTGTAATTGTTCTTGATAATCCTTATTATCGTTTTCCTCAATGGTGTCTGCAGCAAACTGTGATGATACCAAAATGACATTAATTTAAAATAATATATAATTTAATATTATCACATTAATGCTGTGATTCAGTACTTGCCCCAGACATTCTGATGCGTATAAGTAATCATGATATTTGCCTGATTGCATCATTTGCTGTCCTTCTGACCTCTCCAGCAGATGGAAAAGCCTGTATAAAAGTATTGAGAGAACATATGGCTCTCAATTTCCAGTTTATGCTATCGAAGAACACATCCAATGGTGGGATTCAGCCGGTTCACACCACTTTGGCAGAACCAGTAGCTAATTTTTTGTTGCCCAAGCCAGAATGGACTTCCTGAAGCGGCATCCATATAGAGAACCAGTTGAATCCCACCACTGAACACATCATATTATGCCTTCATGTTTACAGAATTAGGTATCCATGGTTCTACTTGTCTTTCTAAAACAAAAACTCCCAGAATCCTCAGCTTGCTTGGCTAATGCTAAATGATAGTAAGAGCTACAGGGAACCACATCTGGAGGCTGCAAATTCTCCATCTGTGTTTACAGTGCTCATTTATACATGTCGGGCTGTCATCCAGGTTGTATAGAGCTTAAATCAGTAGTTGGTGCCTCTAGATGGCGCCCATTGACAATATAATTGTTATAGGAAGGCCCACTCTCATATGAGATCTTAAAAAATATCATTTTTTTCAAAAAATAATGTTTTTATATATATTTTTTATTTGCTGGCTGGCAATTTGGGGCATTGTAATCTCCATATATCTGGAGGAGATCAGATTGGGGAAGGTTGATGTATATAGTGCTTTATATTATTTAGCAACTCTTCATGGTAGGCCAATAATTTTTTGTGGGGTCCTTGGTGCTTTCTGAGTTTAGTTGTTTTCTTGCAGACATTTCATTATTAAACTAGGTAAGAAATCATTATGTTACTCCATTCTTCTATCAATAATTTTCTCCCAGATAGCTGATACTACTACAACAACAGCAAAATAAAACCATTGTGTCTTCAACTGTCATGTTGTATTTACAGATATTTCCAGTATTTCAGAGGTAATCCAGATATTCAGGTTGATATAGATGAAAACAGGTTTTGACACCTTCAAAATAACATCTTTAGAAATCAGAAAACAGATATAAGGAGGCGTAGCATGCTTGTTATATACTGAGGGCCAAAATGGAGCAGGTAAAATGAAGCAGCACTCACAGTATTAGTGAGAAGGAAATCACAGTGTGATGCAGCTATTAAAAAAGCAAAAGCTGTTTTTGATTGCAATAATAGGAGCACAGGGTCCAGAAGACAAGACAGAATTGTTCTGTTCTATGTTGTCTTGGTCATATATCATGTGCTTGTCATTGGCATTGTTTAGAAGAGAAACAGATTGGAGTGAGTTCAGAAGATGCCTAAATAATAAGAGGTTTGGAAACAAAACTTCCACTGTTAAAGAATCTGTGTGGGTTTAGCCTATGGAAAAGATAAGTGAGGAGAAATATTGTACGGTAACATACTTAAAATGTATGGAGAAAAAAAAGGAATGCATTTACTGTGTATTGCCTCAGAGAGCATGACTAGAACCATTAGAATAAAACTGAAAAAATGTAAATTCAGGCTGAACTTCAGGAAGAACTTTATGATTTCTGAGCTGTCAACACAGTGCCACGTGAGAAGATTCCCCCCCCCCTTTGCTAGAGGTCTTCAAACAGAGCGTGGATGCTCATCTATTAAAGATACTAGAAGAGATCCTGAACTGAGCAGGGGCTTGATGTTATTATTTATAAATTCAATATATATATGGCCACCCATTTGTCATGTGACTCACGGGTAGCTAACAAAAAACTACAAAGAACAAATAATAAGTTAAAAAATTAAAACATACTGCACTGAGAAGAGTCCATAACCTCCTAATCCTGTGCTGGGGGGTGAGGGGGAAGAGGCATTTTCAGAGAGAGATAAGGTTGGGATCAGTGGTGGGATTCAAATATGTGAACAACCAGTTCTCTGTGTGGATGCTGCTTTCAGAAGTCCATTCTGTGCCTGGGCAACAAAAAATTAGCTACCGGTTATGCCAAACTGTTGCGAACTGGCTAAATCCCAGTAATTCAGATTTGAGATAACCAAGCCACAAATGACTATTACAGCCTCCTAATCTGGGAATGGGTGCAACTGATACACAAAATGGATTTGTACAAAGGCCCTCTGAGCTACTCTTCAAGCAGGAACCATGACTGGTTTTGTCTAGTCACTGCAACTCTATCGAGAACCAAAGATGGAAGATTTCCAAAACCACTAGCCCTAAAATTCTAAACCACTTGATAAGCCTAAATGTGCCCTCCCCCATCCAATCAGCACAACCACCCGAAACTGAAATAGAATCTTAAAAGCATTGTCTGGCTAGCCTAGGATAAGATATGCAGTGCATTCAGAAAGTATTCAGCCCTCCTTCACTTTTGTTATGCTGCAGCCTGATTCTACAGTTGTTGAAATTCATGTTTTTCTCATTAATCTTCACTCAGTACCCCATAATGACAAAGTGAATACAGAATTTTAGAAATGTCTGTAAATGCATTAAAAAGAAAAAACTGAAATATCACATTGGATAAATATTCAGATGCTTCACTCAGTACTTTTTTGAAGCACCTTTGGCAGCAATTACAGCCTCGAGTCTTTTTGGGTATTACGTGACAAGCTTTGCACACCTGGATTGGGAGATTTTCTGCCATTTGTCCTTGCAAATCCTCTCAAGCTCAGTCAGGTTGGATGGTGACTGCCGGTGGACAGCCATTTTCAGAGATGTTCAACAGGGTTCAAGTCACGGCTCTGGCTGGGCCACTCTAGGGCATTCACAGAGTTGTCCCTATGCCACTCTTGTGTTGTCTTGATTGTGTGCTTAGGATCATTATCATGTTGGAAAGTGCATTTTCGGTCCAGTCTGAGGTCCTGAGCACTGTGGAACAGGTTTTCATTGAGGATATTCCTGTACTTTGCTCCATTCAGCTTTCCCTCAACCCTGACTAGTCTCCCAATCCCTGCTACTGAAAAACACCCCCACAGCATGATGCTGCCACTGGCATGCTTCACTGTTGAGATGATATTGGTCAGGTGATGAGCGATGCCTGGTTTCCTCCAGATATAATGTTTAGAATTGAGGACAAAGAATTCAATCTTGGTTTCATCAGACCAGAGAATCTTGTTCCTCAATCTGAGAGTCCTTCAGGTGCTTTTTTGCAAACCCCAAGTAGGCTTTCATGTGTTTTGCACTGAGGAGAGGCTTCTGTCTAGCCACTCTGCCATAAAACCCAGATCAGTGGAGGCTGCAATGATGGCTGTCCTTTTAGAATTCTGTCCCATCTCTACACAGGATCTCTGGAGCTCCATCTCCACACAGGATCTCTGGAGCTCAGTCACAGTGACCATCAGGTTCTTGGTCATCTCTCTTACTAAGGCTCTTCTCCCTCAATTGCTCAGTTTGACCAGGTGACCAGTTCTTGGAAGAATCGTGGTTATGCCAAACTTCTTCCATTTGAGAATTATGGAGGCCACTTTGCTCTTAGAAACCTTCAATGCAGCAGAAATTTTATTGTAGCCTTCCCCAGATCTGTGCCTTGCAATAATCCTGTCTCTGAGCTCTGCAGGCAGTTCCTTTGACCTCATGGCTTTTGCTCTGCTACAGAATGCATTGTCAGCTGTGAGACCTTCTATAGAGAACTGTGTACCTTTCCAAATCATGCCCTATCAATTTAATTTACCATAGGTGGACCCCAATCAAGATGCAGAAAAATGTCAGCAATGATTAAGAGAAATGGGAGGCACCTCAGCTAAATTTCAAGTGTTTTTTTTCAAAGGGTCAATGTGATATTTACATTTTTTCTTTTTAATAAATTTACAGACATTTGTAAAATTCTGTTTTCACTTTGTCATTATGGATACAGAGTGTAGATTAATGATAATAAATGAATTTCAACAACTGTAGTATCAGGCTGCAACATAACAAAATTGACAAAAGTGAAGGGGGTCTGAATACTTTCTTTTTTTAAAAAAAGACATTTTATTGTTTTTTTTTAAAATTCTTAAGAAAAAGTACTCAGGACCCACCGTGATGGTTGGGTGGTCAAACATTCAGAAGTAAAAATATATATAAACAACGCAACTCAATAAATTTCACTATCCCCTCTCTATTCCCCTCAGTTAACATAATATCTTTAAATATTCCATTTCTATTTTAAATTTCTATCACTATTATATCTGTATTATAACTTTATCAGTTTACAATTACAATAATTTAAATTTAAAACAAAAAATTAGGGGTCTGAATACTTTCTGATTGCACTGTATAACTAGATAACGTCAGCATACTGATCATATCTAGGCTCATGTCAAAGTTGACCCCACTCAAGAAGAGAGAAAAGAATTGAGCTCTGAGAAATGAAACCAACCTTAGAAGGAAAATCATTTCTATGTCTCCCACTCTCAACCCCGAAACAAGGGCAGAATGATACCATTTATTTAATCAAATAATTCTAGCAAGGTTACTTGGGGATGGTACTAAAAGCTGTTGAGAGATCGAAGTGGGACAGGATGGATGCAGAATCCGAATCCTGTTCCCATTATAGGTCATTAATGTGTAATCATGCCATCTCAGTAATGTGCCAAGGCCTGGAACTTGACTGGGAAGAATACAAATAATTTTCCCTCAGGACCCTCTGAAGCTGCAGCCCAACTTCTGTCTCAAATACTTTCCCTAGAAAAAGAAAGTTGGAGAAATTATCCAGCATAGTTTGGTCCAACAATGAGTACTTGAGAAGAAAATGTATCTTTGAATCCTAACCCCAGGCATAACTATCATTTCACTCAAAATGAATGTACCACCTCTTGAATTCAACCACACATTGTCTCCCCACAGACCTTAACCAGTTTGGAAGAACATGGATCTAATATACAACCCTGTAGACCCTTTCCACTTCCTTAGGACCAAGAAAGTAAATTTTCTCTCAGATCAAGCCAGACTATGCTTAACTCAATAGGACCTGCACAGTTGGAATTCAGCTCAGGGTGGATTTGAATGATTTCCCTTAACAGATGCCTTGAATAATCTTCAGAGCAGCCTATCAGACAATCTTCTGACTCTTCTCTCCTAAGAGGGATTGAGTCACTTTGTACAGGGTTCCTAGAAAGCAATCCATGGACACAATAAAATGAGAGAAATAAATACATTTTACCCCTCTTTATTGTATATAGCTTAATAAATGCTCTTCCCTTTGTTTGATTAGGCTCTTCGTTCTTCCTCCAACAGCGCTGTAGGCATCGCTTTCTTCTATTTCATCTCTATTCTGAGTTGTTACACCATAATTTAAATTCCTGAACTCCCTTTCTGTCCTTTAAAAAAGCCCAGACATATACAAGTATAATAGTAATTATACATTCATCCTTGGTTATGTTTCATTTAGTTTAAATGTTGCTCACAAAAACTTAATTTTATAACTAACTCATGGTTGAAAAAAAATAAACTAGTTTAAATAATAATTTTACATAAAAGTGATCAAATTTCACCCAGCTGTTGATACCAAATAAATTGGACATCCCTGACTTCTGCCTGTCTTGGTAACCAATGATGTGAAATTGACACTTAATGGTTTTATTGTACCGCAAAGGATTTTGAAATATGTTTTCAGCCCTTTGGGACTATCTAAGGAAACAAACTTTTGAAATCTGGGTTCAGAAAGAGCAATGGGTTGTGAATGTTCCTGAACAAAGGGTCACTGAGAGTTTTAAAACTTACAAACCAGCAAATTCCAATGGATTACAGATGTGGGCATGGCAATTTTCAAGCTCCCGAATTATTTGATTCTTGAAGTAAATTGGATGTTCTGTGGACAAGGTTTTGTTATGATGTGGACTCATTCCTATGACCAGAATCCCTAAATTATATATATTTATGTCCTTTGCTTGGGTACAGGGCAGAAAAATTGCAACTACTCAACCACAGACCTGCAACTGCTGTTGAAATCCAGCTGGTAAGTTACAAAGCTGCCTTCTGAAACATTGGTTTGAACATAGAAAATCAGTCAAGGAGATTTCTCAACTTTCCAATAATGGTGGGATTGATATCATTCTTGTCTGGATATTCTTTTTCTTGCTTTTATCCATATCCTCAGCCTGTTTTATTGTTTACTCTAGCTGTGAAGCGGTTGCAGTAGCAACTGCACAAAGATACTGTACATTTGATAGGATGGACAGTAGGATCCAGGTTCATGTGAGCCTTACCTGTACAGATACAGCGGAAGGGCTGAGAAAGGTGGAAAAAGTCAACAAAGAATAGCAGCTACCAGGAGGAGTTACTGCTGTTGTTAGCAGTATTTGAAATTCTGTTGTTTTGTATTCATTTTATTATAAAAAGTTTGTTATTTCATCTTTGATTATGTGTTCTAAACTGCCCTGGAAATATATTAGAAGACTGGAATGTAAGTTATTATAATATATGTAAATATATTATGTAAGTCACCCAGCTCATTGAGAATGATTTGGGCAGCCATATCAAGAAATAAACAAGAAGCCATAGAAGAGTACTGGAGCAAAGTAATTATATCTAGGTTAAATGTAAAAATGAAATGGTCAGGAGCGGACTGTATTTTTTAGATATTTGTGCAAACATACATAAAATAGCTACTTTGGAGAGATTGTATCTTATATACAATAGAAGTCCAAATATGACAGAAGACAGGAAATACGTACAATAAAATCAGGTTATCATGGAGATCAATGTATCTAGAAGTCAGGTTGGTTCTGAAAACCAGTTTAAACCATCTATGTGTTCAATTAATTAACATGTCATCAAGTCCACACTTTACTAACTTAATTCAAATTTTGTGGAGTGCTTTGTCACATTTTTTTTGTTGAAATCAAGGTATACTATATGTACAGTATTCTCTGCCATCTCTGAAAGTTGTAAAATGAGTTTCTGCTATTTTATCTTCTGATAGATAGCACATTTTAAAATTAAATTTCTACTGAATAATCTATTCATTATTGATTGTAGAATTTGTCTGCTTTGATGTTCTGCCAGCTGGTCTGTAATTTGCTAGATCCTCTTTTGTTTCTTTTTTGAAGATGGGAGTCTTGTCCTTTTGGTACTTCACAGGTTCTTGTTTTCTCAAGACTCATAAAGATTTGACCAAACCATCAGAAAATTCTTTCATGCTCTGTATTTCGTCTGATCCCGTATTTCATCTGATCCTCATGCAAAGTAAATATAAATATGGTTCCACTCTAACCCTGGCCTTTTATGTTGTCCTGAAGAGCTGTCTAATTCTTTTGTCATTGAAGACACATGAGAAAAAATACATGACTTTAGCTCTGTTGTTCCTGTATTACCTGTTGTTCCATCTTCACTTCGGCTAAACATACCAAGTTCCTTTATCTATTTTTCCTAAAATTTAGTCTCCAAGCCCCTCACTATCTTTGTTGCTCTTCTCTGCACTGAATTTGTATCTGACAGTTCTGAGAATGAAAATAGACATTTTATGCTTTTCCTGCATTCCCCATTTTTAAATACCTTTTTTTTTAGAAATTCATACTGTTTAAGCTCCTTTTCCCGTTAGCTTCTGTGACCACAAATTCCCACTTACCATTATTCTGAATTATTAAAATGTGCAAAGTTCAAAATACCCAGTCAGTTAGATAAATTTCCTTTCCTTTAATCATTATCTCTAGCACTATGTGGTCACTTCCTCTGAATATTCTCTGCTTATTTTCTATCTCTCCTGCCCCCTTCCACTTCCCTCTCCAGGCTGCATCATCATTCCATGCTAACAAACCTTTGAGAGCTGCATAGTCAATGGATATTGACTGATACATCCTTGAGAGCTGCAGATTCCCTGGGCAAATAAAATGTTCATTTTAGAAGAAAATGAATAGCTGAAGCGAATGTTCTGAGATGGCGCCTGCTCTCGCAGAAGATGTGGGAGTTATTAGGTCATTGATTTAGCAAAAAGGCAATCTCTCCATCTGCTCTATTTCACATTTAAGGTAGTCTATTAGTTTACGGGAGATAGAAAATAAAACAAAAGATCACTCTCAGCTTAATCTTCTCCATAAAAATATTTTGATTCCAAAACAGTTCTTAGGGACACAATCAAGGCTGCTGACTTTTTAACTGAAATAGGTGAAAATAATTCAATGTTACAAAATGTTTCAGCTGTGTATCTATCTTACTGTTTTTATTATACTGTAGTACAGGTAGTCCTCAATTTACAGCCGCTCGCTTAGTGACTGTTTGAAGTTTCAATGGCGCTGAAAAAAGTGACTTATGACCATTTTTCAAACTTATAACCATTGTGGCATCCCTATGGTCACATGAGCAAAATTCAGACGCTTAGTGACTGACTCATATTTATGACGGTTGCAGTGTCTCGGGGTCATGTGATCCCCTTTTGTGACCTTTAGACTAGCAAAGTCAATGGGGAAGCCAGATTCACTTAACAACTGTGTTATTAACTTAACAAACTGCAGTGTTACATTTACCAGGTCGTAAAATGGAACAAAACTCACTTAACAACTATCTCACTTAGCAATGGGAACTTTGGCTTCAGTGGTGGTCGTAAGTCAAGGACTACCTATATCTGTTTTGTCTCTCTGGTATTTAAAAGTTAAGTAGAGAAATTACTTAGCTCAAAAGTAATTTTTACGTACCTGAAGAATAGAATAGAATAGAATAGAATAGAATAGAGCTGGAAGGGACCTTGGAGGTCTTCTAGTTCAGCCCCCTACTCAAGCAGGAGAACCTCTTATACCATTTCAGACAAGTGACTATCCAGTCTCTTCTTAAAAACCTCTAGTGATGGAGCACCCATGATTTCTGAAGGCAAGCTGTTCCACTGGTTAATTGTCCTCGCTGTTAGGAAGTTTCTCCTTAATTCCAGGTTGTTAGGAAGTTTCTCCTTAATTCTTTGTTCAGTTTCCAACCATTGTTTCTTGTCCTGCTCTCTGGTTCTTTGGAGAATAACTTGACGCCCTCTTCTTTGTGGCAGCCCCTCAGATACTGGAATACTGCTATCATGATCCTCCTAGTCCTTCTTTTCTTTAGACTAGCCGTACCCAGTTCCTGCAACTGTTCTTCCTATGTTTTAGTCTCCAGGTCTTTAATTATTTTAGTTGCTCTTTTGTGAATTTTTTCTAAAATCTCAACATCTTTTTTGTATATGGTGACCCAAATTGGCTGCAGTATTCCAGATGTGGTCTTACTAGGGTTTTTATCAAGTGGTACTAATACTTCGCGTGATCTTGATTCTATGCCTCTGTTTATATAACCCAGGATTGTATTAGCTATTTTGGCTGCTTTTTGGAAGAGTTTGATATTATTGTATTGTTATACAGTCAGCCAGATGTTTAGATTGCTTTTGGCACTTTTATCCACCTATTGAATCCTTCCCAAAAACCTGAGATAGGCAGAAGTTGTTCAGTAATATTAAAGGTATCATTGCAGCTTGCAAGCTATTTCACGGGAAAGCTACCTTTTGCAATTGACTGATGATTTTGTCAGTGCCAATAGTGTTCAAGTGGTAAATCAGATGTTTTGAGATTGTATCTAAGGGGCAAGGTACTGCCATGTCCGCTATCCAGTTATTTTTTTATTTTTCTTATTGACTATTATTATTTACCATTTAAAGAATTTATATACATTCAAATTGAACAGTGTGATTCAATAGCTTTCAGTTACCGAGTGGGAGAGGAAATCAACAATCAGCAATAAACAGTGAAAATAATAGGAAAGCTGGTTCACATTCATACTCTTTTCCAGTCAGAACGTACCATACTTACCTTGGCCCTAGTGAAAAGGGCCATGTTTTTAAAGCTTTCAAATGCTAATAAGGTTGGGGCTAACTGAATATTGGGAGGAAGATGACTGCATAGAGTGCGTTCTGTTATAGAAAAGTCATGGCAGCTGGGTCCCATCAAGGATGTTTTAAGGAAAAAATCCAGAGAGTGGTGACTTGATTAGAATGAGTGGGGCAGTCAAATGTTTTTTAGGAGAGATAGTCCTGTAAATAACTTAGTCCTGTGCCATATTATGATAGATAATGAACAGACATAACTGGCACGCAAGATGACGCAGGTCCTCGACTTACAACAGTTCATTTAGTGACCAAAGTTACAATATTAGTGAAAAAAGTGACTTATGACCATTTTTCACACTTAACAACTGTTGCAACATCCCTATAGTCACGTGATCAAAATTCAAGACAGTTTGAAACTGACTCATGATGGCTGCAGCATCCTGGGATCGCGTGGTCACCTTTTGCAACCTTCTGACAAGCAAAGTTAATGGGGAAACCAGATTCATTTAAGAATCATATTACTAACTAAACAACTGCAGCAATTCACTTAACAACTGTGGCAAGAAATGTTGTAAAATGGGGCAAAACTCAGTTAACAAATGTTTTGCTTATCAACATAAATTTTGGGCTTAGTTGTGGTTGTAAGTCAAGGACTACCTGTATCATACAAGGGCCTCCTGGCTACAACTGCCACCTGGTTATTGATCAGAAGCTATGAATCCAAGAGAACTCCAGACCAATTCTACTGAAGCCAAAGAGGTAAAATTTCCTCTTCTGGGATCCAATATCTAAGTCATTTTGATAGCTTAGACACAAAAGGCTAAAGATCACAAAACTGTTGCTTGCAGTTGAGGAAGTCTGTTTTTCTCTGAGATAAGAGCATTAGATCTATACAGAGCATTAGCTATGATAGAAGTTGTTTGTTTAAAAAGGAAGGGATTTTATTTGGCTTTATGATGTGATTAAGAATTTCCATTTGCCGTTCTTAGGCAGGTCTAACAGGTGAGTGTTTGCATCACAAATTTCATCGTTTCCACTGAGTACTTGCATCATATGCATCGTTAGGAAAAAAAATAAAACTCCTAGAACAGTTATTTGTTGCTCAGTCATTTACAGTAGTTGCTTTTTTCTCTTTGTGCTGGACATCATTTTACTAGGATGGTCTGTTGAATATATTTAATTCTCTAAGTTTTGTAAATATCCCTTTCCTTCCTATTTAATTGTTCTCAGATTTTTTGTACTGTGTATTTCTGCCTTCAGTTATTTTCATTGCATAGCAGACAACTATTTTTGCATTTCTGGATATATTTTTTTGCTTCACCATTAATAATGTCATGGCTTTTTCAGGCACTCTAGTCACCAAACCTAATCCATTAAATTTATTCTTTACATTCATCACAATATCAAAATAAATAAACTGACATATTGGTCAGATATTTTATTTGTTTTCTTTGGTTTAAGATACAACTCTGCAACAAGAAGTTTGTGATCTGAGCCATAGTCAGCACCAGAATGTGTTCTTGCTGACAGCATGAAATTTCTTTAGTTTTGCCTTTAGAATATTTTGTCAGTTTGATTTCAGACTTGGCCATCTGTAGGATTATGTTTTAGATTCTTGGAATAAGGCATGTGCTATAAGCATTTAATTTTCTTAGCAAAAACTATCTGTCTCTTTCATTCATACATGACCAAAATTTCCTGTCATTTCCAGCTTTAGTATCTCAGATTCCTATACTGTAATTACAGTTATGCCTTATTTTAAATATGGTATAGGAAATTGCCATAGAACTGTTCAATTTCTGCTTCCACTGCATCTTGGTTTAAAGTATATTTGGTTTATCATTATCATTAGATAATTGATTTACTTTTGACTCAGATTAAGATCCTCTCTCATCTGGGGAAGGGTTGTATCCAAGCACTGACTTAAGACACCATTTTGTTAATAATAGCTGGCCTTATTTCTTCAATGAGATTTTAATCCACAATTGAAAATCCAATGCTTTTCTGATGTGAAGTAACCTATTCCAGTCCATTTCAGTTTGTTGATTTCCAGAATTCAGTCTTGACATTTCTGTTCTGACATCAACTTTGCCTTAGTTCATGGTCTGACATTCATGGACCAATGGTAGACATATCTTTGAAACTTCAACCTTTTCTTTTGCTTCTGGGCAGTCAGCAGCTGGACTTCCTTTTGGCTTTAATTCAACCGGGTAAAAAGCAACAGTGCTCTCACTCTTGCCCAGTAGCTTGTTTCATACTTTCCAAGCTTCAAAATCATGTTGATGCTGTCTTGGTTGTGGACATCCACTTGGTTTTCTTGACAGAACACTGGAGTAGACTGCTGTTTCTTTCTCTGTGGGCTGTATTTAGTCAGAACCCTCATCTACGACATGCCTGTCATGGATGACATTTCTGGGAGTATATACTATATTATATAGTAACATCATTAGGAAATGCAAGCTGTTTCATTACTACAAGGTCAAGATCCATGAAAGAAATAATTTTCACTGTACATTCATGCTGCATCCCTAGTAGTGCAAGGCTGAACCTAAATAGTCCAATGGGCAATGAATTCTGATGAATTCTCTCTATTGGACAGGGCATTAGAAAGTAGAAAATGGGAAAAAGCAAAGAAATTCCAGAAAATGGGATCAAATCAAATACCTTTATTATGATCTGTGACCAGCTTTTACAGTAAAAAAGAGAAATAGATTGATATTACAATTCATTATTAGGGGAGGGAAACAATAGGGACAATCAAATGATATATCTAATAAAAGGTTTTGCACAGTTGCATGACGGTGAAGGTATCTGACAACCTGATACGTGAGTGTGGGTCTAGCATCCCTTAAAACAGATATGTCAAACTCGCAACGTCACATGACGTCGCACAACATATTCGGTCTGTTTTGCCATTGCTGGCAATGGGGTGGGCGCGGCTTCCGCTTGACGCGTCCAGCCCATGGGCTGGCAGTTTGACACCCTGCCTTAAAAAGTAATAAACATAAAATTTATCAGTGTTACCTTCAAATTTGGAGATGACTGGGGAGATCATAGCACATCTTGTGACATGATAAAAAGGACACTCTGTGAGGACATGAGCAAGAGTTTTGACCTCCTTGTATCCACAAGGGCAATTTGTCTGCAAATAAGGAGTCCCGAGCAATCTTCCTACCAGTATTGCTGGTGAGAGGGCCAGAAATTAGGATAAATAGTTCAGTTATAAGGTTTGAGTTCAAGGTGTATCCAGATATTGAAAGTATCTAAGTTTGACTAATGCATTTAATCAGTGCATAGATATGGAAGGTTCTTATCAGTGCTAACAGTCTTATCTGTAGAAATGCCCTTTTTTATCAGGGAAGAGAGGGCCTCTGTGCCCGTTTTTTGGAAAACATGATTCATTGACTGTTTTCCAATGGGTAGTGGTTGGTTTAATTTTATACTAATTTTGCTAAGCCTCCCTAAATTTTAAAGTTGATCGTTTTTTGTTCATCTGCTGCATAATGTCAACCTTATTGTTTTAGGACAATCTCTTGCTGTACCAGTTGGGAATTTTGAGAGTTAAGTTCGTCGTAAGGAGCTTGGAGGTTAGCATGTAAAAGAGTGATCAGGACATACTGGTAGATACTAAATTATTGTCATTTGCAGATTGTTGAAGAAAGTGAGGAGAGACTTACAGAAGAGCAAATTGAATCCCTTCTCCAAACAGTCACCAGCATGCTTCCTGGAGACCCAGAACAAGAGCAGGAGCAGCAACCTATGGTTGCAGAAGAGGAGGGCAGCCAGACATAGGAGAACTGTAAGCGACCTGAACTGCAGGAGACCCCCTTCCCCATTTTAGCATCAGGCAAGCATTGGCCAAACTCTTCATTTGCTATGAGAATCTGGAGATTTCCGACTGTTTCCATGATGATTACGCAGTGTTGTCACTATATGTTTTTCAGTTGTTTGTACATCATAGGAGCATTATTATTTACAGTATAAACTTTTAAAGGAAAAATAATCACTCTTATTTTTATGTTTTGTGTTTTGTAAGTGCAACATGAATCGAAATTCATCCCAGGGCAAATGCTACCGTTGGCTTCACAATTTTCATGCTTATCTACTATAATATGAATCTGAGTTCATCCCAAGGCAGATGCTGCAGTTGGCTTCACAATTTTCACGCTTATCTATCTGGAAAGTTTACACATCAATAGCACAGACATTGGCATCATGGACTTGTTCATTTATTAGATACGTGCATTCCAATTTTCATAATATTACTAAAAGGTATCACATATAAGTAGTAGATCATTAATAGGTTAACAGTAGCCTACCCATTATGGTTGTATGTCATAACAATTGCAAAATGGGCTGTCACACAACCGACCCAATTTTATGACACTCTTGCAACAGTTTTTAAGCAAAAAACTACAGTCGTTACGTAAATGTGTGGGAATGTGGTAATTAAGCGAATCAGTGGTTCACTGTGGGCATGGTTTTGTCAAAAAGTAAAAGTGACAGTTTTGGGTAAAACTTGTAAAACTGGTCATGTGGCCGCAGGATGTTGCAAATGGCTGTAAATATGGCCATATTGCCAAAGTTGTCATGTGACCACAGAGGGAGCCCAACCATTGGAACTTTCAGTTTGGGTCATTAAGTCCTTTTTTCAGGTTGGTCATAATTTTGAATGGTTGCTAACAACCTGTTGTAAGTCAAGGACTACCTGTATGTTTTTCTTTCCTTTGTTTCTTCATTGGATGGACTCACACTTAATTCTTAGCCATAAGAATTGTCTACTATCCTTTTGGCAGATATAAACATTGTCTGGGATCAATTTGTTGGGCAAAAACAGCCAATTGCTAAAAAAACCTAAAGGCATATTGTTTAGTCAGGGCCACTCTGTCTTCCTCCCTTCCTTTCATTGTTCTACCTCCAAACCTCTGTCTGATAGCCTTGTATCTTCCTAATATTTGGGAGACTGAAAGAATCCAGTAACCAGTGGCAGAGGATTGAAGGAATCGTAATCTAAAAACATCTGGAGAACATCAAATAGCTTTGCCATGTTGTTTTTGAGTGTCCTTTTCCGTTAGGTTTTTCAAATTCTGGATTCTTTGCTTGCTTGAACATATCAACAGGCCTAAAGAACAAGGGAACTGTTTACACTGCTTTTATTTTATGCACATATAAATACAATGGGAGTGTCTGGCCAATCCTTCCAATGCAGTGCTGAGCAGCTACTTAAATCCTCTGTATTAGTAAACCATCAGCTTTTTGGAACATGTGTGTTTTAGGTTTGTGAAAAGTATACAAAGAAAGAAACACATAGGAAAAACAAGCAGAAGTGTGTTTTAGTTTGAGATATGTATTCTTTTTTTATGCAGGCAATACTTTCAGGTGCTGAAACGCCTTAATGGGAAACTGGGCACTGAATGATTACAGCCATAGGCAAACAAGTCCATAAAGTAACTCGGTCCTTGTTCAAAGTTCCTATTTGCTCTTCTGCAGATGTGCCAGAAGGTGAAGAGATTTGAACATAAGGAGTCCTCTTTGCTTCCTGCTCTGGTAGCCTGGAAACATATGCATATGGGGAAGAGTGTCCTGAAATCATCAGTTCGGGGCTTCAGATCCAAAGAGACTGCATCGTTTGTTAATAAATTTAAATTGGGCAGATTCAAACAACACATGCACAATGACTTGATTGACATATCTTGCTAAGAGGCAGTGGGAGGTACATGAAACCCCTGAGTCCACCTCTGACCACAGTAGCCAGAAGTAAGTGGTGTGGTTAGCCATTTTGAGTCAAGACAAATAAAAACATTGTATATCCTGATTTAGGGGTATCCATTGGGGTGGGGGGGTGGTTTAAAAAGTCAAAAGAGGTTAGCTAAGACTGTGTGTTTGATGTTCTGCCCCTTGCATGCTTGCTTTGGTTATATTGTCCTGCCATCATTTTGACTTTTAATTTTTAAAGAAAATATTCTTGGTCCTAAACATGCTTAATATAGGTTGTAAAGTTCTGCCATTCAAACAGCATTGAAAATCATACCTCTACCTACATTCGTGATATGGCCCCTATCCACTTTGCCACCATCCCACAGGTGTTAAATATGTTCAGTATATTGCACATAACAGCCTCCAGAAGTTGTGAATGTGCTAACACTGGAAGTTTTTAAGAGGAGGTTGGACAACCATTTGTCTGAAATGGTACAGGGTTTCCTGCCTGAGCGGGGGGTTGGACTAGAAGACCTCCAAGATCCCTTCCAATTACTATTCCTATCCTATCCTATCCTATTCTGTAGAAACCACAGTAGTTGACTGAATTTAAACACAATATGCTAATCCAAAATCAAATAAAAACGTAAGTGTTTAGTGCCCTATGTGAACTTAACTTGTTTCACTAAATAACAATAATCCTTGAAAGTAGATGATTCCATTGAATCTGAACTAAGAGTGGCTGAACCCTGTCATCAAACACTGAATACAAGGATTAATAGGGGCTATGAAGGTCACCAAATCCAGCCCTCTGCCCAGTGAGAAATGTATTAATAGCAATCCTAACAGATAAACATCAAATAAATATGCAATGAATATTTTCCTTATGTCCAATCAAGATCTATTGATAATGTTGATAACTAACCATTATGTTTTCTTTGGCTCAATGTGCAAACATTTCAATAGAAGGAGATTATCTGTAGCTCAGAGTTGAACTGCAGCATTCTTGATGCTCTCTGAGCTTGGTTGTTTGTTTGCAGATGTTTCATTATGTGATCCTGGCTACACTTCAACCATCATAAATACGTATTAGTTGTCAAGTGCCCAAATTTTGATCACATGGCCATAGGGTTGCTGTAATGGATGTAAGTACAAAGACAGGCTATAAATCACTTTTTTCAGAGCCATTGTAACTTCAAACAATTGCTAAATGAATGGCTGCAAGTCAAAGATCACCTGTGTAGCTCACAAAAGGTTATTATACTTTTTAATACAAATCTGCTAGTTACAAAAGCTGCTATGTGAGATCCTGATCTTTTTTTCCATTGTGGCTCCTAAGATACTTTACCAACTCAACCAGTTGAGGTTAAATCAATAACATATACGCATTTATAAATTAGATTTATATCCTCACTGAATGATTCAGGACCAATTACTTCCTCTAGTTCACAAGCTTGTTGGGAAAAATTTGAAGAAGTGTACATTGCCTTGAGCTCCTGAAACAAAAAAAAAGTGATATAAGCAAATAAATTACTGTACAAAAATCCTAGTTACGTAATTAGCATTTGTGAGATAGGCTGGGCTTGAAATAGTGATTGGCCTAAAATCACTCTGAGCTTCCATAGCTAAAGATGGACTTTCCCCATATAATAACTACTGTACCATATTGGCTCTCTTTTAAAGCAATACTCATTTAACATCATCTGTGAACCAACCCACTTGTTTTTAAGAAACTTGGCTAAAACTCTTATATTTCAAACAAATTTTTCCCTACACAAAAAATGCCACCTCTGTCAAACAGACATCAATTCCGATGACTAATGGCTTTAATACTGGTTTACATCAGAGTTCAGATTGGCAAAATTCTTCACATCTTTAGGGATGGCATTTATGTTCTCCCCTCATAAACATCTGAAAAACCAGTTGGCTCTTCTAATCTCCTATTTGATTTCTTTTCTTTCTCTTTGTTCATACTTTATTTTCATAAACCAATAATAAGCTTTTTGGATGTACTTGGATGCTTTTAAATGTTAATATTTAATTGTAGCAAGTACTTGTCAAGTAAACCTCATTGTTATAGTTCGTATAATCTAGGATACCAAGTATTACACTTAAGAACTTGGAAGTGATTAACTGCTAAGCCTAGTGGATGTTTACTTAGAAATTTATCATCGTGTGCAAGGAAACTTCTGCCAAGTCAATATTGTTTTGCACCATTTGATATTTATTTGGGGCAAAAAATTTATTCAGAGTTCCCAGAGCATAACACAGCACATTGCAGAGTAATCTAAACAGTATGGGGAAAAAATAATGTACCATATGTATTCATGAATAAGCCCATCCACAGATAAGCCAATCCTCAAATTTTAATGAAAATGCCATGAAAAAATATGCCACGAACCGATAATCCAGTTATGAAGATTAAAATGTATAAAATTTTGAGGGTCACCTTATTTATGGATAGGCTTATCCGTGAGTATATACAGGTACTTTTAAAAAGTCTTCTATATTCACAGAAACCTCACAATTGATCTACATGGAAACCCCTTTTGCAATTTTTAGTCAATAAAGAGAAAAAGTTTGATTTTTGGATTTGATATTTTTTGATTATGGGGATATGTATTTGTGTAATCTGAAAGCAGAGGATGTTCTATTATAGATTTTTTATTATAGAAATATCTAGCAATATGTGTATTTTTAGAGTTGATAATATGATGCACTTATGAATTATACGTTTTATCAGATTAAGAGATTATTATATACTGTTACTGTTACTTGATTGATATTTTTATATATTTAGTTTTATATCTTTTTTCTTTTGTTAAACTAAAACAAGAGTATGTTTTATTTTATAACTTTATCCGTATTGAAAAAGTTGGAAGTTTAACATGTTGTTATTCTTTGTTTTCTTATATGACTTTTTAAATATTCCGTTATTCCCATCTCCCACCTTTTCTCTCTTGTTGTAATTTTCTATTTTAACCTTTTATTTTTGAAATTTATTAAACTTTTTAAACAAAAAAGAAATCTCATAGCTGAAATTAAAACACAAATTATTAGTAACAAAATCATTAAAGGCTTGCAAAAATTCTTAAAATGACTCCTAGGAAATTCTTAGGAATTCCAAAGATAAGATGTCCATTGTTAAAAAGTAACATTTTAAAACTAATTATTACATTGTATTATGATAACTACAGTGATCCGCTACACAGTGGGATCAGCTAAATGTGAAAAAAAATAAAAGTTTTTCTTGAATTGAGCTCCCATGTGGCTATGCTCCTGTAAAAGGTATTTTCTTAGGAATATTTATTTATTAAATGTACTGGCCTCCCCATCTTAACCACAAGATAATTCCTTATTTCACAATATTTTTTCCTGGACATTTACCCCAGAGTTCTGAGTGGGTTATATAGCCTTGGGACTTCAGAATGGCTTCTCACACAAATGTGGAAGATACCTCACAAATTAACGCACAACAACAAAAACAATCTATATAAATGTTGAACATGTTAAAAATTCATCAACAACCATTCTGTTTATTTTTATCATTGCTTTAATATCAACTTCTTCATTTAATAAGGTTGCAATATTACGATCATTCAGACTGTAATCCTGAAGTCATTTACCCTAGAAAAAAGTCCACTGAACTAGAATGAGCTAGATATAATCCTTCTGCATAAGAAGGAAACTGAATCCAACCATTCCTAGAAATGGATCACAGGATTGCAAAAAGTACTACAGGTAGTCCCTGACTTACAATCATTCATTTAGTGACCGTTCAACTGCACTGAAAAAAGTGACTTATGACCAGTTTTCACACGACTATTATAGCATCCTGATGGTCACATGATCAAAATTCAGGCACTTGGCAAGTGGCCTGTATTTATGACAGTTGCATTGTCTCAGGTTCATGTGATCACCATTTGTAATCTTCCCAGTTGGCTTCCAACAAACAAAACCAATGGGGGAAGCCAGATTTGCTTAACAACCACATCATTCACTTAAGAACTGTAGTGATTCGCTTAATAACTATGGCAAACAAGTTATAAAATGGGATGCAACTCACTTAACAACTGTATTGCTTAGCAACAGAAATATTGGGTTGAACTGCGGTCATAAGTGGAGGACTCTGTGTGTGTGTGTGTGTGTGTGTGTGGAAATTGTTCTATAATACACTTTTTGTCAATATCCTTTTTTTTTAAAAATGTGGGTGTTGAGGAAACCAGATACCCCATATAAATACAGTCTTTTGAAGTAACTGTGATGAATCCACTGAGATGAAGTGAAAATGGGATGCTTGCGCATTGAGCCTTAGGTATCTCTTTTTCAAAGAATAGTTGGCTCTCTCCTTGCCTGGAGGATGTGAACTACTTGTTATGGGGATTAAGAGAAATCTCAGCAAATACATTCAGCCTCTGACTCATTGCCCAGATTTAAACTGCACTGCAAATTTTGAGATTGTTAAACAGGCACTTTGTATTGTATTTTTCTGCTTATAGTTATCATTTGGGCCTCTTTGAGAATTCTTCTCCCACATTTTATGGGTGGGCTAATTACTGATGAGCTACATGCTTTTTGTTTCTAATTTATTCCCCGCCACCTAGTCAGCAACTTAAGAGGTGAAAAAATGTATAGAAAGAAATATGAAATGTATTTAAAAATTATCAAGGTGGTTTACAGACACAGACGTAATACCCATTGGCTACCTTCATCTAATTTGTTAAAGTTCAAAGTCATGTTAACAGTACCTAATTGCTGTATTTACACAACATCTTGTCCCAGAATTAATAAACCATAGGTGACTTTTTGATTAATGTGATTTTATTTATTAACATGGCTGAGTTTTGTTTTAGAATTGATTGTAATAAAATATGCATCTATCTGTAATTTAATATAATGGTCTGGTTCAGACAACCTGCTAAGACAATAGATGGGTTCCTACAATAGGCTGAATCATAACTCCACCAACCTAGTTCTAGCTTAGCATGCAAAACCAGCAGACAAGTCAGAAGGGATGCATATTTAGGAGCATCTGTGCATACTGGTTCTGTTCTTTGGCATGCTGATTAGCCACACACAGAATTTCATTTTACTGTATGTTCTGAATCAGGGAAGAAAATACAGATACTGTATTCCTTATTTAGCGACTCTCATACAGTGACCATTTGCAGTTATGACAGTGATGTAAATGTAATTTTTACAACCAGTCCATGCATTTAAAATCTTTACAGATCTGGAAAGCCAAGGTAAGCTGAAGTAAAACCATAAGCACAGTTGCTGTTTCACTTAGTGACCACTTTGCTTAAGTAGTTCCTAGTCCCAGTTGTGGTCACTAAAAAGGAAAACCACCACTAAATACCATTTGGTTTGGAATATTCCCGAGCCTGAAATAGAGGACAGATGTGCATACAGTTACCTTCTGTGCAATTTATAAATACTTTGAAGTCCCAACTGTTAATCGATAACAACATCCAAATGGCTTTTTTCACTTCAACAGGGATGATTTAAAAAAAACCTGTTGGGGTATTAAGTGAAATTTTCTGTGAAAAAGGTTGTGAACTCAGCTGAGTTTTCATCTGAAAACTAATTCCTCAGTAAATGCGTCAATTCTCCTAAGCACATTTTTGCACATGTCTTTGATGGCTAGATCTTCAGGTTCCAGCAAAGATCTGTCTAGCCTTGGCCTAAATTTCATGTATGCTCCTTAAGAAGCTGAGAACACCTGGGCTTATTTTCTTCAAAGTGCACATGATGATCTACTGTGTAATAATCAGATTTCATGTTAAAAGTAGATGGAATGTGGAAGCAAGAAGCAGATAATTGTATATAAAATTACATTCCTAATTATACTGCCTTAAGGGTGTCATCATCACTGTATATATTTACAGCTTTTTCAGAGAGATGTTTCCATTCACTAGGGAATTTGGAAAACGGAGAGCTATAAGTACCATATAAAGACTTAAAACGTTAGCAGTACAAGGAGCCAGAATTTATACTATGTTATAAATTAGGCTATACGCATGTTCAGGCATGACTTGAGATAGACAAAAAATGGTACTATTTTTTCCCTTTGCATCTTTATGGTAATGCCATACCTATTTAAAATTTTGGTGGAGATCCAGTTCAATTTTACACTAGGAATGCCAGGAAGGACTTCAAAAGAGCATCTAGGTTCATACAATGGACTGACTTCCTTTTCTGTCTTGGAAGAGTAAATAGAATGGCCCCAAAGTCAGGGAGAAAGAAAGGAGTTAAAAAGTTTAAAAAGTTCTTTGATATCTGTGTTAGTAGACAGTTTCTCTTGATGGAATCCAATTCTGGCCTGTTCATTGCTATGCATTCTTCTACACTTAATTTTGAAGGCTTAATGTCCTCTTAAGCAACTGCCCTTCCCAAATACCTGTCTCAGTCTGTACCAACATTTAATCCAGTTGCTAAATTGTTTGAGTTTGTGCAGTTATCTTATACCGTAAACTAACCAAATGGACTAACATTCCATAATATAACAAGTAAATGCATTAAAAAGTAACTCAGTTTAAAATGAGTAACTGCAGCCATGAAGTCCTGAACTGAGCTGTGTGAGATTGTATCCTTGACTGGTGATGCTCGTTGTGACCTGACAGTCTTGTCTTTTAGAGCAATGTTTCTCAGCCTCAATAACGTTAAGTTGTGTGGATTTCAACTCCCAGAATTCCCCAGCAAGAACATTGCTTTAGACCAGGGGTGTCAAACTGGCGGCCCGTGGGCTGGATGCATCATGTGCTCCGCAAAGGCAAAAAACATTGCGATACGTCACGATACATCATGTGACACGATCGAGTTTGACACCTGTGCTTTAGACAGTTTTTGCATTCTCTGCTTGCCTCAGTATTTAAATTCTTCTTTATCACATCCCTTTTTCATTCACTTGTTCTTGTTTCCCCCCCTCTTTTCCTCCTTTCCAACCTCCTTCCTATTCATGCTTTTAAAATGGCCTTCTTACTCATATTTCATACAGTAACCTTTGTTTTCTTAGATCCATTCCTAGTTTAGGTCTCAACTCTTTTTTCTTCCTGGCAAGATTAGAATGATGCTCAATCATCCTGACAGAGGATCTTGCTGTTGTGTACAACCAGCTCTGCCAGACAGGTAGCATTTGTCTTATGACAAGAAAAAAAATGGAAGGATGGCAGCAAATATTATGTCCTTATAAAAGATATGACTGCAATATTATCAAGCTGCGGATGTGAGATGACATTCAGATGTGTATCAGTTATACGTTTCTTGAAGTAAGTAGGATAAACATGCTATTCATTTCCAGATAAAAGTAGTTCTCGATTTACGTCCACAATTGGGATCAGAATTTCCATTGCTAAGCAAGGCAGTTGTTAAGTGGGTCTGCCCAATTTTACAATCATTTTTGTCACAGTTGCTAAACAAATCACTGTAGTTATTAAATGGATCACATGGTCATTAAGTAAATCTGGCTTCCCCCGTTGACTTTGATTGTCGGAAGCTGACTGGGAAGGTGGCAAATAGTGACCATCTGACTCTTGGATGCTGCAAACATCTTAAATACATGAACAATTGCCAAACACCCAAATTTTGATCCTGTGACCCTGAGGATGCTGCAATAGTCATAAATGCGAGGACTAGTTATATTTTTTTTTCAGTGCAGTTGTAACTTTGAATGGCTACCTAAACTCAAAACTTGGAGACCTTGCTTTTCCTTGCCTTTTGAAACAAACTTTTTCTGCATTTTCTGGAATGGCCCATTTATTTGATCTCTGTTTCCTCATTTGCTTTTCTTAACCTTTTATATTATCTATCAAGTCTGCTTGTTTTGGAAACTCCCTAGTGCCTTTTGGTTTACTTGGCCTATTGGATGACAAGCAACTTCCTTGAAAGCTCTCTCTCTCTCATTCTGATTTATGTAGAAATTTTATCTCCCCTTTATGTTCCTGCTAGTTCGATGCAAAGGCTATGGCACTGTGTCAGATCAGAACAGAGCAAAATGTCAACAAATGCATGGGTCAGAAACTCAGGCGGAGAATTGCCTTTCCGTGGCAGGAAGTAAAACAAAATCTCCCTTATAGTCTTCTTTTCTGGCCAGCTGCTGCTAGAAGCATGGCAACTTTGTTGGAATCATTTGGGAATTTTTTTAAAAAAAATTGCTGTGCATGTGGGTGTGAGTAGATATTTACATATGTATAACTGTTTTATCCTCAATCTGATAGCAACAATATATGAATGCACACACAGAGAGAGCTCTTTATTGTGCCATATCTCAGGATCGATTGCCAAGCTTGGATACATCAAACCATCTTTTTGGTTTAACTGCTTAGATATGCAGTCTCTGCCCAAACAAATATTCAGAGTGGGAGCAGAGGTGAGAAGGCAGGGAGAAGGCCATAAGTACTAGGGTGGCCCCTTCTCCTTTTTCCACTGATCACTCCCAGAATGATTGATTTTTCAAGTGTATCAGCTTGCCTGACATGGCCACAGTGTGCCTTTGCTTGGCAATCTTGGCTTCTAGATCTACACTGGTCTAGGACCTCTTTGTGATTTTTGCAGTTCATGGGATGTGTAGAAGTCTTTGAGATAGCAGCTGATAAAAACTGAGCCACTCTCTTGAGTGGGATTAATTCTGATCCTGCAAAAGAAGGAATTCAGCATCTGGCTCAAAATGGAATGAATATTATTGATAAGGAGTGTTAAAAGATAGAGTATATGCTGTCATAGATGGGACAAGGAAAGAAAACGAGACCAAGGATTTCAGGCTCACTCAAATCACAAGGACAAGTTGTTACTACACAAAAGAGATTTTTCTGGTGTCTACCCTGCAATTTCACAGTTGGGAAGTAGTTGAGATGG